TTTGAGGATTCCTTTATAAACTTTACCCTAGACCTAAAATCAGACATCTCTTCAAGGAGCCCTGATTTCCTTTAGTGAGAAACGCTGTTTACAGACTTGTCTGCAAAGCTGTGTTCATTTGAGTTTTCATTGCTTTAAGGCCTTTTCAGTGTCCAATGCTAGGAAAAAAGGTATTTTTAAGAAAGAAAAATGAATAATGACAATATCCTGATATTTCTCCATTCAAATAAAAGAAGAGGATTTTGAGTTAGCTTTCTGAATTTAATTGTGGTTTTGGAATTCATACACTGAATCATGGCTCCTAACAACAGTAACATAAATGGTTTACTTTTTTAAGTTTAAAAAAAATAACAAAACCATTATAACTATCAATAACACTACTACTGAATGCAGTAGGGGTGTATATGTGTTTTACATGGAGTCTTGCTCTGTTGCCCAGGCTGTAGTGCAGTGGCACAATCTTGGCTCACTGCAACCTCTGACTCCCTGGTTTAAGCTATTCTCCTGCAGCCTCTTAAGTAGCTGGAATTATAGGTATGCGCCACCATGCCCAGCTAAGTTTTGTATATTTAGTACAGATGGGATTTCACCATGTTGGCCAGGCTGGTCTCAATCTCCTGACCTCATGATCCACCCTCCTTGGCCTCCCAAAGTGCTGGGATTACAGGTGTGATCCACCATACCTGATCATGTGTGTGTTTTAATCTTGTGAAATATCCCATTAGGGATGTATGGTCAAAATGCTGTTTTTTGTTTTTTTTTTAAGATGAAGTTTTCTACTTTTGTTGTCCAGACTGGAATGCAGTGGCGTGATGTAGGCTCACTGAAACCTCTGCCTCCTGAGTTCAAGAGATTCTCCTGCCTCAGCCTCCCAAGTAACTGAGATAACAGGCGTGTGCCACCACACCCAGCTAACTTTTGTATTTTTAGTAGGAACGGAGTTTCACCTTGTTGGCCAGGATGGTCTTGGTCTCTTGACCTCTTGATCCGCCCGCCTTGGCCTCCCAAAGTGCTGGGATTATAGGTGTGAGCCACCGCGCCCCGCCGTCCCATCTTTTTCTATACAACATGTAGCATGTCATAAATACTTATTCCACATTGTGAAAGAGATGGTATTTTTTCATTTAAAAATATATCCTGGTGATCACTCCATAGAAGGGTAGAGACGTCCCTTATTCCTTTTCGTACTTGTAGAATGTGCTTATCTTTTGGAGGCAACATAGCTTATTTAGCCAGTCTTTATTGATGGATATTTAGATTATTTCCAGGTTTTTTGCTGTTACACATGGTTTGGCAATAAATGACCTTGTTCATAAGTCACTTAGTATTTTGCCAGCATAATTTTTTATTTTCTTACAAGAAAACCAAAGAAGCTGGCTGGGTATGGTGGCTCATGCCTCTAATCCCAGCACTTTGAGAGGCCAAGGACGGTGGATCACCTGAGGTCAGGAGCTTGAAACCAGCCTGGCCAACATGATGAAACCCTGTCTCTACTAAAAATGCAAAATTAGCTGGGCGCAGTGGTGCGTGCCTGTAATCCCAGCTACCTGGGAGGCTGAGGCAGGCAAATCGCTTGAACCTGTGTGGCAGAGAGGTTGCAGTGAGCTGGGATGGTGCCATTGCTCTCCAGCCTGGGCAACAAGAGCAAAACTCAGTCTCAAAAAAAAAAGAAAACAAAACCAAAGAAGCCAAGCCAGCTTAGAAAACACTTTATTGAAATATAATTCACATACCATAACATTCATTCATGTGAAGCATACAATTCAGTGTTTAAAATTTTTATTTGTAATTTTTTAGACGGAAGCTCTCTCCGTCGCCCAGGCTCAATCTCAGTTCACTGCAACCTCCGCCCCCAGGATTCAAGGGATTTTCCTGCCTCAGCTGCCCGAGTAGCTGGGACTACAGGCGTGTACCACCACGCCCGGCTAATTTTTTATATTTTTAGTAGAGATGGGATTTCACCATGTTAGCCAGGATGATCTCGGTCTCCTGACCTCGTGATCCATCCACCTTGGCCTCCCAGGTGCTGGGATTACAGGTGTAAGCCCCTGTGCTCGGCCAATTCAGTGTTTTTTACTGTATTCACTGGGATGTACAACCGTGACCACAATCAATTTTAGAACATTTTCATCACCCAAGAGAAACCCCATACCTATTAGCTGTCACTCCTCATTCTTCCCTGCCTTAGCCCTAGGCAACCCTTTATCTACTTTTTTGTCTATTCTGAACATTTTATATAAATGAAATCATATACTGTGTGGTCTTTTTGTGGTTGACTTCTTTCTTAGCATAATGTTTTCAAGGTTCAGCCATGTTGTAACCTTAAAAAGGAATAAAGTTCTGTTATATGCTACAACACGGCTGTTTTATGTAAATGTATAGGATATAGTCAGTCATGTCTTGCTACTTCAGCTTAACATTATGTTTGTGTGAGTCATCCATTTTGTTACAACATATATGTGTAGTTCATTCTTCTTCATTGGTGTATACCATTCCATTCCATGAATATGCCACAATCCATTCTGTTGTAGACGTTTCTAGTTTCTGTTTTTTTTTTTTGAGACAGAGTCTTGCTCTGTAGTCCAGGCTGGAATGCAATGGTGCAATCTCTGCTCACTGCAACCTCCACGTCCCAGGTTCGAGTGATTCTCACACCTCAGCCTTCAGAGTAGTTGGGAGTACAGCACAGGTGCGTGCTACCTAGCTAATTTTTTTTTTTCCCAAGAGAGAGTCTCTCTGTGTCGCTCAGACTGGAGAGGAGTGACGTGATCTTGGCGCACTGCAACCTCTACCTCCTGGGTTCAAGCAATTCTCCTGCCTCAGCCTCCCACTAAGTAGCTGGGATGACAGGTGCCTGCCACCACACCCAGCTAATTTTTTTTGTATTTTTAGTAGAGACATGGTTTCACTATGTTGGTCAGGCTGGTCTTGAACTCCTGACCTCGTGATCCACCCGCTTCAGCCTTCCAAAGTGCTGGGATTACTCACGTGAGCCACTGTGCTGGCCTTCCCTGGTTAATTTTTGTATTTTTAGCAGAGACAGGGTTGTACTGTGTTAGCCAGGCTGGTCTCAAACTCCTGACCCCAAGTGATCCACTCACCTTGGCCTCCCAAATTGGTGGGATTACAAGCTTGAGCCACCACACCTGGCCTAGTTTTTGGTTCTTAAGTGTAGTGTCGCTATATAGAACTCTCCTCTATGATGACTTTGGTGGTCAATCATGACTCCATGTATTTGTCGAAACCCACAGAGCCGCTGGGCGCGGTAGCTCCTGCCTGTAATACCAGCACTTTGGGAGGCTGAGATGGGTGGATCATGAGGTCAGGGGTTCGAGATCAGCCTGGTCAACATGATGACACCCCATCTCTACTAAAAAAAAAATACAAAAATTAGCTGGGCGTGGTGGTGTGTGCCTGTAATCCCAGCTACTCTGAAGGCTGAGGCAGGAGAATTGCTTGAACCTGGGAAGTGGAGGTTGTAGTGAGCCAACATTGCACCACTGCACTCCATCCTGGATGACAGAGCAAGACTCCATCTTTGGGAGGTAGCAGGGGTGGGTGGGGGAACAACAACCCATAGAGCCATACACCACAAAGAATGGATTTTCCTGCATATAAGTTAAAAACATGTAATAAAAGAGAATAGTGCTGCTGTGAACCTTCTTGTGTATATATTTTGTGAACATGTGTACACATTTCTACTTTATATATACCTAGCAGTAGAATTACTGGGTTATAGGTTCTGTTTTTGTAGATACTGCTAGGTAGTTCTTCATAGTGGTTGTACTACTTTCCCCACTAGCATTGCGTAAAAGTTTCAGTTGCTCCATATCCTTGCTATCACCTGGTATTGTCTGTCTTTTCATTTTAGTCATTCTGGTGGGTGGGTAGTTGTATCACATTATGGTTTAATTTATATTTTTCTGATGATTGATTTATTGGAATTTTGGGTATTTGTCTTTCATAAAGCACTTGTATGTTTTGCCCATTTATCTTTGGGTTGTCTTTTTCTTATTAATTTGTAGAAGTTCTTTATATATTCTGGAAACAAGTTCTTGGTTAGATACATGTATTGCAGATATCTTCTATTCTTTACAGAATACTAAGATACTGATGACTTTTAATGTTTTTTTTTTTTTTTGAGATGGAGTTTCGCTTTTGTCACCCAGGCTGGAGTGCAATGGTACAATCTTGGTTCACTGCAACCTCCGCCTCCTGGGTTCTAGTGATTCTCCTGCCTCAACCTCCTGAGTAGCTAGGATTACAGGTGCCTTCCACCATGCCCAGCTAATTGTTGTATTTTTAGTAGAGACAGGGTTTCACTATGTTGGCCATGCTGGTTTCAAACTCCTGACGTCAGGTGATTTACCTGCGTCAGTCTCCCAAAGTGCTAGGATTACAGGCGTGAGCCACTGCCCTGGCCCACTCTTTATTTTAGTATTTAACAGAAATTATTCTGATACAGTTCAGTATATCTTTTTTTCACTTTATGTTAACACTTTATATTTTGTTTAAGGAATCTTTTTCTATCCTAAGGCAGGAAGTGAGTCTCTTATATTTTCTTCTAAAAGCTTTATTGTTTTTTTTGGCTTTTCACATTTAGATCTCTAGACCACCTTGGAACTGATTTTTTTTTTTTGTCGTTTGATGAATGTGGGCATCAATATTAATTTTTCTCATTATGGATATTTACAAACTATGCACCATGTATTGAAAAGACTTATCTTTTTCTCACTGCACTGTCATCTTTGTCATAAATCTAGTGACTCTAAGCATAATTTTGATTTATGAGTGAGTTTGAGCATCATTTTCCTTTTCTGAAAAGCAGCTATATTTAAAAAAAAAATTCAGTTTATTTGTATCTCAGCCCATCAGACCCCAAACTTCCTAAAACTGAATGTAACTTGTTTGCTAATATAAGCTCATTATGTCTTCAGCCTCTTCAGTCCTGTCTCTTCCAGGCATCTTTAACAGTTGATGTATTAGATCCAAGCAGGCATTTTTGTAGGCTGGGAGGCAAATGAATAGATAATACTTCCTACCCAATCATCTTCCCTAGCCCATTTTAATGTCCCAAAGTTTAATTAACAGAACAGGGAAGCTGTCCTGGACTGAACTCAACACTTTGAATTTTTTTTTTTTTTTTGGAGATGGAGTTTTGCTTTGTTGCCAGTCAGGAGTGCAGTGGCACAATCTTGGCTCACCACAACCTCTGCCTCCCAGGTTCAAGCGATTCTCCTGCCTCCACCTCCTGAGTAGCTGGGACTACAGGCACATGCCACCATGCCCAGCTAATTTTTTTAGTTTTTGTAGAGACAGAGTTTCTCTAGGTTGGCTAGGATAGTCTCGATCTCTTGACCTCGTGATCTGCCTACCTTGTCCTCCCAAAGTGCTAGAATTACAGGCTTGAGCCACTTTGTTGGCCTTTTTTCTTTCTTTCTTTGATTTCTTTTCTTTCTTTTTTTTTCTGGAGACAGGGTCTTACTCTGTCACTCAGGCTGGAGTGCAGTGGCACGATCATCACAGTTCCACTGCAGCCTAGACCTCCTCAGGCTCAAGTGATCCTCCCACCTCAGCTTCCCAAGTTGCTGGTACCACAGGCGTACACCATTGTACCAGGCTAATTTTTTCTGTTTTTTGTAGTGACCATGTCTAAGTATGCTACTAGGCTGAGCTCAAACTCCTAGGCTCAAGTGATCTACCTGCTTTAGCCTCCCAAAGTGTTAGGATTACAGGCGTGAGCCACTGTGCCCGGCGTTTTTTCTTTTCTTCTTTTTTTTTTTCCTGAGACTTTTTTTTCTTCTTCTTCTTCTTTTTTTTTTTCTGGTCTCATTCTGTCACCCTGGCTGGAGTGCAGTGGCACAGTCTTGGCCCACTGCAGCCTCAGTCTCCCGGGCTCAAGTGATCCTTCTATCAGCCTCTCAAGTAGCTGGGACTACAGGCATTCACCACCATACCTGGCTAATTTTAAAGTTTTTTTGTAGAGAGTTTTTGTAGAGAGGGCATCTCCCTTTGTTGCCAGGCTGGTCTCAAACTCCTGGGCTCAAGTGATTTTCCCACCTCGGCCTCCTAAAGTGCTGGACTTAACAGGTGTGAGTCACTGTGCCCAGCCTCTTTATGTTTAATATCTATTTGCATTTATTTCTTCTGTGACCTGTCCATATTTTGTCTTAGTTTTATTGGGTTCTTGCTCTTTTTTCTGTTTTTTTGAAGTTCTTTATACATTAGGGATATTAGTTATTGGTGACATACATTGTAAATATATATATTTTTTTCAGTTTGAATCTTCAGACCTCCTTTTTTCTTTTTTGAGCGGGGTCTCACTCTGTCTCCAGGCTGGAGTGCAGTGGCGTGACCTCAGCTTACTGCAACCTCCGCCTCTCAGATTCAAGCGATTCTCCTGCCTCAGCCTCCTGAGTAGCTGGGACTACAGGTGCAGACCTTACCACGCCCAGCTAATTTTTATATTTTTAGTAGAGATGGAGTTTCACCATGTTGGCCAGGATGGTCTCAGTCTCTTGACCTCGTGATCCACCCGCGTCAGCCTCCCAAAGTGCTTGGGTTATAGGTGTGAGCCACTGTGCCTGGCCTAGATCTCCTTTTATCTCTTGTAATGAGCAGTGATTTCACATACATGTCAAGAATTGCTGTTTTCTCTACATCTAGAGGGACTTTAAGATAACCTTCATTCCTCTCCTTTTGCCATTTCTGTCTTCTCACTGTGGAAGTATAACTGTGTTCTTTGGGAAGCACAGCTGATCCTTGAACAGCGCAGGTTTGAGCTGCATGAGTCCATGCATATGCAGTTGTTTTCAACCAAATGCAGGTTGAAAATATTACAGGAGGCCACTACTTGGGGAGTCAACTTTTCATACTTGCAGGTCCCTCAGTATTGACTGTAAGACTTGAGCAGATTTTGGTGTACAAGGTGGTATTGGGCGGTCCTGGAACTAGTACTTTCACAAACCAAGGGATGACTGTATTTGACAAGGTCAAGGTGAGACTGACTTTGAACCTCTTATTCACCTGGTTGTATCACTTTTCTTTCTACTACCTTTGTAGAGTATGCTTCATCTTTGAAGATTTTTTTTTTTTTTGAGACCAGGTCTTGCTTTCGTGTCTCTGAAGATTTTATAGAAACCCTGTGTCTCTTTTCTGTAGTTATACCTGCCCTCATAGATATTATCTAAATATTTAGGTAGTTTATGGGCTATGAAAAGATTTGTCAATTTAGTCTTTCTAACAGGAGGGAGATTGTTTCAAGATCAACTCTTTCTCTTTCATTTCATTCTTTAAACATTTCTCATTGAAGAAAGTACTGCAACTGAGCACAGTGGCTCATACCTATAATTCCAGCTATTTCAGAGGCCGAGATAGGAGGATCACTTGAGGCCAGGAGTTCAAAGCTGCAGTGAGCTATGATGGTGCCACTGTACTCCAGCTTGGGCAACAGAGCAAGACCCTGTTTCAAAAAAAAAAAAAAAAAAAAGACTACTGTATCATCATGATAGAAAATATTTAAACATCCAGTATAAAGACTGTGCAGAAAGTGTCCCATGATTCTTCTGATTGTTGGTCTGCCTCATTTGTTGTAGTGAATATGGCTTTGCCGAAAAGGTGGTGGAAGGGATGTTTATCATCGTCAATTCTATCACCATCAAGATTCACGCCAAGGCCTTCCATGCTTCTTTTGAACTGTGGCAGCTCCAGGGCTATAGTGTCAACCCTAACTGGCAGCAGAGTGACCTTCGCCTCACCCGCATCACTGACCCCCGCCGAGGAGAGGTGACAGCCCCATCACTGTGAGAGGAGAGAGTGGGGAAGATTCAAAGTAGGACTAATTTTTAAAGGATATTATTCCCACTTTGTGGATTTCCTCAAATGTTCCCCATTTCTGGGAACCCAGAAGCCTTTCTGTCCAGTGTTACTGCTACATCCTTTCCTCAGTTATGGATTCCCAATTCACTACTTTTTCTCGTTGGGATCCCAGCTGGGAATCTCTGCCTTGCCAGTCTTTTTTCCTTGGATTTCTTGCTTCTTGGTTAATTTCATTCACAGGATTAAGAGATTTTACTTTCTCTTCTTCCAGGTTTTAACGTTTAAGGAAATAACTTGGCAGACACTCCGAATTGAGGCAGATGCTACAGACAATGGTGATCAGGACCCAGTCACCACGCCATTGAGGCTTATTACGAACCAAGGCAGGATCCAGATAGCCCTCAAAAGAAGAGTAAGTATGTTCTCTGGCCTCATGAAAAGTTCCATCTCTTATTCTATGAGACAGCCTGGGTTTGATATTCCCTCGTTGTTTGTAATGTTATTGGCCCCTGGAATAGCAGTTGAAGGGAGAAGGCCTATAATTCAGTGTTGGCAAACATCCTCTAGTAATAGAATGTTTCCACCTTCCTGTTTTCTTAGTTTTGGAAACTGCAATTTTTACCCATATGTAGGGACACTGACAGAGGCACCTGGCAGTTGACTATTGCTGCTTTTTGTTAATTAAGGAAACTTTAGTAGTTTTGTAAGAAATTGGCTCTCCAAAGTGCTTGATACTTTCCTTTCACATCTGGAGATTGAAAAGCCAGTTCTGAAATGGATTGGGCAACAGTCACTTTGAAAGTTGGAATGATGCAAGGTAATAAACCCCATGTTGTCTGTGCCTTCCTTAGACCAAAGATTGCAATGTGATAGCCTCCAAGCTCATGTTCCTGTTGGATGACTTGCTCTGGGTGCTAACTGACTCACAACTCAAGGCTATGATGAAGTATGCAGAGTCACTGAGTGAGGCCATGGAGAAGTCAGCCCAGCAAAGAAAGAGTCTGGCTCCTGAACCTGTACAGGTTAGAGATAAAACACACCCTTGGTGGGGCTGAGGACTTGGTAGACCAGAGCAAATTCATACTAACATAGGTGGAATCCAGACTTTATTTGGGAGGTTTGTCATTTACTTCTGGGTGTTCATAGACTTTTTCTGCACCTCTGATTTTTTTTTTTTTTTTTTTTTTTTTTGAGAAAGAGTCTTGCTCTGTCACCCAGGCTGGAGTGCAGTGGTCCAATCTTGGCTCACTGCAACCTCTGCTTCCCAGGTTCAAGTGACTCTCTTGCCTCAGCCTCCTGAGTGGCTGGGATTACAGGCACATGCCACCAGGCCCAGCTATTTTTTTTTGTATTTTTAGAAGAGACGGGGTTTCACCACGTTGGTCAGGCTGGTCTCGAACTCCTGACCTTGTGATCCGCCCGCCTTGGCCTCCCAAAGTGTTGGGATTACAGGTGTGAGCCACCGTGCCTGGCCTGATTTTTTATGTATTCTGTTCATTGGGTACCTCTAGTGTATGAAGTATACAGTGCTGGCCACTGGAGAAGAAAAATGGAATACACCACTTGTTCCTGTCCCTGAGCTCTCACTGTCTTGAAAGATGGGCCATAAATGAGTTATTATAGTATGGTGTGATAAATGCTGTAATAGAATAAACAATATGACATGAGAGCACAAAGAAGAGGTATTGCACTACCCAGGGTGAAAGAGAGCATTTAGGGAAGACTTCCTGGAGGAAATGTTTTAGCATCAGCCCACTAAGAACTGGTGGTAAGAGCTGGGAGGGCAATTCAGAACTATGAACTGTATTCCAACAGTTATTAGACTAATTATAATTAGGCTTTTGGAGTTTGGGTTATATAATTGGAACAGACCTAAGTGAGCTACTAGGCCAACAGTTAGGAGATGGAAGAAACATCTTGCTAAACTGTGGTTTTCTTCAGGCTGGACTAAAGCTTAAAGAACGCGTACAAAGGATCTTTTCAGGGTCTGGACTTCCTGTTTCTCTCTCTGTCACATGTAGATCACTCCACCAGCTCCCAGTGCCCAGCAGTCCTGGGCCCAGGCATTTGGTGGCAGCCAGGGCAACAGCAACAGCAGCAGCAGCCGCCTCAGCCAGTACTTTGAGAAATTTGATGTGAAAGAGTCCTCCTACCATCTGCTTATCTCCCGCCTGGACCTGCACATTTGTGATGATAGCCAGTCCCGAGAGCCAGGTACCCCATGAGGCCTGAGCCTGGGCTGGGTGGTCCACGTCACTGTCTCACTCTGGGCAGAGTCTAGGGATGAAGGCTCTTTTCCAAAGACCGTGGATT